GTGGAATCTGTCCTCAAGAAATAGAGTTGTGTAACTTTGAAATATAAACAGTGATTGAAAACTAGGCTGTTGAGATGAGTTTAGAATCAACATTTCAGATGTCTGGAGGTCATCGGAGCCCCTTGAAGTATTTAGCTGGACTTGAAAGCATGGGACCCCAGCAATTGTGTTTGCTCAGCAAATCCCTTCTTTATAGATAATAGAGCAAATCCCCCTCTGAATTTCCAATTAGGGTCAATCAAAATAAGGCATTCCCAGTAGGCTTAACAAGCAAAATTCTTTGGGTAGTACGTTCATAGTCAAACCTACTCCACCGTTCCTCCTACTCAGAGACATTACTAAAAGAAAGACTTTCCATTCCATTTCTTCATTTTCAACACAAACCCAGTGCTAGAGAATGTTAATACAACACTCTGTCACTACATGCATTGTAAAAAGATAGTGTGGTGAAGTGACAGATAGTATATAATAATTACAGCGCAATCGAACATTGGCAATTATCTGTTGCCATCTGGCAAACCTCTTAAATGTAGTCAGATTTCTGTCTTTTGCCTCCAAGCCCTTGCCAGATCATTTCAAATGCGAGGACTGTTTTCTTGGTCACCAAGCCACACCCATACCTTGTTTTAACCACTCAAAATTATTTTGTGGGCAATTAAAAAGTAATATATTTATTATGGAAAAATTGAAAATATTAAATCATAAAGATAATTTATATCAGTCGTTAATCATATGATCCAAAGGGGGGAAAATCCTTCCTACTAGTCTTTATTCATGTTTAGACTGCACAGATACAATCTCAAATTCCCAAGATATTTTTGGTAAAGGAATCTGATCCTTGAGAAACCTGTATCTTTTTTGACTCATGTAGAATCAAATTCATGCCATACCATGTGTTTGTCATTGCATTTATGGGACAAGCACTTATTTTTTACATTACTCAAAACAGAATTAGCTCTATCATATGTAAAACATTAAATACAGTGGGGAAACATTATCATTTCCCAGGCCGCCTTGCCAACACTGTCAATTTGGTCAAACTGGCCAATTTCAATGTAACTTGGAGGGATAATCCTACTGCTGAATCATGAGTCAGTTCAATTTGTCCACTTGGTTGTCCCATATAAGTTTATCCAATTTATACCAGGGACGACTATGGCCAGCACACTGACAAATTCCCTGATAGAACCTACAGAAGCTTCTACATATTAGTGGCTTATCCTGTGATGTCATAGAGACTGGAGTTAATTGAGAATTCAGCTTATTAGTTTGGGGGCGCCTGGGTGGCTCAGTCGGTTAAGCATCTGACTTCGGCTCAGGCCATGATCTCACAGCTTGTGCGTTCAAGCCCCGCGTCGGGCTCTGTGCTGACAGCTAGCTCAGAGCCTGGAGCCTGTTTCAGATTCTGTGTCTCCCTCTCTCTCTGACCTTCCCCTGCTCATGCTGTCTCTATCTCTCTCTCAAAAATAAATAAAACATTAAAAAAAAAAAGAGAGAGAGTTCAGCTTATTAGTTTGACCTAATGGCTCCAGAAAAATCTCTCCAGCCGTCCAGTTGCCCGACAAGTATTCAAATGCCTAAGGGTAGGAGGATCTGCAGATCTATTTTTTAAAAAAATCAACATTACTCAGTTAAGAAATGAGAATAACAAGATTTCAAACCTCAGTGCCAAAGCAAATGCATCCCTTTCAATTAGCCTTCTTTAAAGTCTGCTGATATTTTCCTTTCTGTGAGCAATTCCCTTGATGTGACAGCACTTACACTGTATCAACGTTCTTTCAAGGTGCTGTTCTGTCCATCAACAAGAAGAGGTACTAAAAAATCTTGACATTATTTCTATGCCTATTAACGTAGAATTTAGCCAAGAGCCAAAAATGTCAACTAAATAATAATCACCTTGACACTGATACCGATGATCTAACTGGCATTTATGTCCCCTCCAAAGCGCCCCATACCCCACTCACGACCACCATACAGTCTTAGGTGTAAAATAGAATACCCTTTGAGAATTACTGTTGAGCTTTTGTGCCTGGTTAGGAGCTCATGTAGCTTGTTCAATTTATTTATTCCCCATTTCCATCCACCTTTTTCCTTTGGAAAGTAAACTCAGTCCATGAGTTCTGTGTCAAGTCTATGACACAATGGGAAAAAATCAGTAAGAAATCCGTAAGTCCTGATGAAAGGTGATAAGCTCTTAGCACGTCATGGTAATGAATATGATGTTGACGGTGCCTTTCTCACATTCACATCTTCACATCCAGCTGGTCATGGAGCTGCTCAGAAGGAAAGAAACCACTCTCTGCTATTTTTTTTTCATTATTCCAAATATGTAAGTACAAACCCAAAGAAAGAGGAAACCCTATTTCTTGAAGTTCTCTCCATGCCCTTAGAAGAGTAATGATTATTATCTGTATTCTTTTTTAAATATTTTTAATGTTTATTTATTTTGAGAAAGAAAGAGTGCAAGCAGGGCAAGGACCGAGAGAGAAAACCCAAGCAGGCTCTGCACATGTAGTGCAGAGCCCAAGGTGAGACTCAAATCCACGAACTGCGAGATCATGACCTGAGCCAAAATCCAGAGTCAGATGCTTAACCGACTGAGCCACTCAGAGCCCTCCTTTTTAATCTGTAATCTTAAACACTTGTGGCATGTGTGTGATTTTTGTCTCACTAACTGGATTTTCATTTCAAAGGCAGGGACAGTCTCTTGTATTTATTTGTTCTCTAGCCATGGATCGAACCAACAAAGTATCATAATAGATGCTCCAGAATGCATAACAAGGGGCTCAGCCCGAGCTGAGCCTCCATCATATCATATCTCCTACTGGGACCCAGGCGTGTCTGAGCATGCCCGGCAAACATGAGTGTGGGAAGTTGAGGTCAGTGCCAGACCTACTCATAAAAGATTCTAGACACCACCTGGGACAGAACACTCCTCTGAAGGGAGGTGGTCAAGAAGATACGTGTGGTTCAGCAACAGGGAGAGTAGACAGTCATTCCACTGCACATCACACAGATTCGCTGGTCCCATGAGAAGCAGATGCCAAGATGGGAGTAAATGTGCAGAACAAAAATATATTATGGGAAACGCCTGGGAGAGAAAATACAGAGGGAGGAGGGGAGACTGAGAGAGTCATCGAACAGCAAGAGAAAGAGACGGGGAAAAACTGAAGGGAGGTGGGGAGAAGCATCTCATACGCTCGAACTGCATCCAGTTCTAAGGATAGTTTGAGCAGGCTATTAGGAAGCCTCAAGTCACAGCGGTGCGTCAGAGACGCCCCCGTCTCCCAGGGATGAGTTGGCCTTCATATCCCCCCGTGCTCATCACTGGCTGGGAGCAGCCCATGGCAGGCCTAGCTTCCGTACAAAAGTGTGATTTCGGCGCACGGCAGCTGGGGTCCACCCCAATAACGTTGCTGTGGTGAGAGGCACATTCTCGCAGCCACTATACGCACATACTCCCCATCCTGCTTCACTACAGCTCCGAGTCTGGGTCCTAGCAGAGAGACAGGGCTATGCATAAAAACCCCATCGCTCTTCTAACAATTTAACCTCAACATTGTGGAGCACTGAACAAGAGAGACAGATTCTCACGGACCTCGGCACCTTCACAGAACCCGCAATATTACTGCCTTCTGGTGTCACAGAGCCCGCAATACCTATGGTGACTTAACCTGGAGTTTGTATTAAGCGGTGCAGGCCTTAGAGGCAAATAATAGCAGAGAGTAGCTTCAGCTTCAAGAGCAAGAATATGGCAAGCGGTGTGTGGTAGCCAACAGGGTTTGTGCGTGGATGCATATGAACCACCTCCTCAAGTTGCTGGAAATAATCAGGAGGAACATTACAGGGGCATCAGTCTTGCCTAACAGGCAGGCGTGAGAGCCGGAGAGCTGTGTATTTCGTCCTTTTTATAATAATCCATTTTAGGGGCGCCTGGGTGGCTTAGTCGGTTAAGCGTCCGACTTTCGCTTAGGTCATGATCTCACGGTTCGTGGGTTCGAGCCCCGCGTCGGGCTCTGTGCTGACTGCCAGCTCAGAGCCTGGAGCCTGTTCTAGTCTGTGACTCCCTCTCTCTCTGACCCTCCCCTGCTCACGCTGTCTCTCTCTCTCTCTCACCTAGAAATAAATAAAACATTTAAAAAATAATAATAATAATCCATTTTAAGTCCTGGGTTGGTGAGATGACACCTGCTAACATCATTTGACTTGGAACCAATTAAATTCCTCTTCTCTGGAACAAGTATATTTCTGCTCTATAATAAGATTCTGCAAGCAAACAGCTTGCTCTCAGCACATTAAACATAGCAACCAGGGAGAAAAAAGAAGCGGCCAAAAATGTGTTTACTACCAGGCTAATACCATCTGCCCTCCAAACACGCCCAGGTTTCAGATTGGCTTTGTAATTTTTCTGATGGGAAATAAGAATTCAGCAGTGGGAAGACTAGCCAGACACGCCAACCCGAAACCTTCTGTTTCCTGGTGAACTTGACCGAGGATTTCACTGAAGCTCTTCTGAGAACCTGTCAGTCAGACTAACACAATTGCAGTTTCAACACGAAGAATGAGGATGAGTCAAAACTCCCTGTTCCGTGTGAACGAGTTCGTTTGGCTTTAGCCATGGCTGTTACAGCAGAGAGAACAAGGTCGTGAAGAATCATGAAAATCCAACTCCGCCCTCTGTAAAGGCAGTGACAAAACCCAAGTGCCCCAAGTGGGGAAGATTAGCCGGAGGCAAGCTACCGGCTAGGCTGCCTTTTGGATGAGGGACGTACTAACTCTGAGAGGAATTGGGCTCTTGTTCTAGAGCCTGGGGAGTAACCTTACCTCCTGCACTTTTACAGTAAGTGATGTGAAGCTGCCAGGGGCTCATATTCTGGGACTTTGAGCAGCTTATCTGGGAGAAGTGGTTCAGGCCCTTCAGCTTGCATTTTGCTGGTTCTTGCCTTCATTTGCCAGTGTAAAGAGAAAAGGGGGGTCCCCACCCCTCGGGCCAATTATACCTTGTCCTCATGGGGGTATCCTTTCTGTGCGAACAAAAATCCAGCCAGCTAACATTTTCTACTCCTCTGCCCCTCTTCCGCTAGCTGCTACAGCACTCCCCCGAGCTGCCAGCCGCTCACTGGCTGCCAACCCAAACGGAAGACATCCCTGCCACTTCCGATGAACGCACCTCCCAGGCATCACCGCGCCTTGCCTTGTCTTGTGCTTCCAAGATGCCTTTCCTCTGCAGCCGCCTCTGCTCACTACCGCAGATTTTGACCATTGCGAGGACCAGGGTTACACTTCCTTCCGGAGCAAAATGAGGAGGGGCAGGGAGGAAGCATGTCTCTCTCTGTGTGTTCCACCCTGTTGAGGAATATCACAGGAATACCTCCTTGCTCTCATTCCAGGGTCTTCCCAGGCAGGAGTTCATGGGGAAGGTCGGCCAGGGGCTACGGAGAAGCAATAGGCATCTTGTTATCTCAGACTCACTTCTTGCCTTTCACGACTAACGTGTGATACTCAACTTACCTTCTCTTAGAGTGAATTCTCTCCCGGGAGGTGGCTAGGTTCCCAGGGCAAATCGACCTCTATCAGGTCCGCTCTATCAGTACATAAGACATGAAGTGACAAACCTGGGAGTGCAGCGCCAGACCCCGCTCAGGCTCAAGTTCAGGCCGTACCACATCCGCATCCTGTGCTTCCTACCATTCGTCTTTCCATCGAGGTCAGAATGGAAATTGCCTTCTCTGCACTCCAGATGACAAGCACACTGCTTTGTGTGTCAGTGGTTTCCTGTAGCTCCCAGATGAAGCTCCAAACCTTCAGCTGCAGAGACAACAGCCTACCGTGATCTAGCTTCTAAACACTCCGCTGCCATCCTTGCAACAAACCCAAGCTTGGCAGCACTTAAGACGTTCTCTCTGTTGTGCATAAGCCATTCCTTTTGGCTAGAACATTCTTTCTCCCTTCCCTCAACACCACCTACTTTTGTGTGATGATGAACAGTAGTACTGGATTCAAACATCACAATCCCTGAGCTTTAAGGCTGGGACCCATGCTGCCCAATGCACTACTAATTCCACTCTTTTGTCAGCATTGGCCCTCTTATCCGTCTCCTCAACTTAAGAACAAGAGATTGAATCTCTCACCCCCTAGACCCAGTGCCTGGTCAGGTAGTGCAAAGAATGGAGTGGGCGCCCCACAGAAGTTTCCTGAATAAAAATATGTCTGGGGGCACCTGGGTGGCTCATTCAGTTGGGCATCTTAAGTCTTGATATTGGCTCAGGTCGTGACCTCACGGTTCCTGAGATTGAGCTCCGCGTTTTACTCTGTGCTGACAGTGCAAAACCTGCTTTGGATTCTCTCTCTCCCTCTCTCCCTGACCCACCTTCCTTTCTCTCGTAAAATAAATAAACATTTAAAAAAGAAAAAGAGGGGCGCCTGGGTGGCTTAGTTGGTTAAGCATCCGACTTTCGCTTAAGTCATGATCTCGCAGTTCGTGGGTTCGAGCCCCGCATCGGGCTCTGTGCTGACTGCCAGCTCAGAGCCTGGAGCCTGCTTCAGTCTGTGACTCCCTCTCTCTCTGACCCTCCCCTGCTCACGCTGTCTCTCTCTCTCTCTCTCTCTCCTAGAAATAAATAAAACATTAAAAAATTTTTAAAAAGTAAATAAATAAATAAATAAGAAAAAGAAATCTTAAAAAAATACATGTCTGTAAAAATGATTTGTTGATTAATAACTGTTCAACACTGGAGAGTTGTGTTTTAAAGAATAAAACTCTCAAACCTTCCACCAATTTACATGAAAAAAGATGGTGTTGTTCACAAGGCCTGGATTAATTTGAACTACTCAGGATTTCTTGATCTAAGATAGTACATTCTAGGCTTCTTACTACTGACCAGGTCTGACAGCTGTTTTGGGGGTTGGTACATAAAATGCTTTAAAGGGATGATTTTGTCTGCTATTAAAGCTGAACAGCAACATCATTTGTTATAAATATTTTGGAAGGAAATTTTAAAATTTAGAAATGTAGCAAACATTTAAATGTGCCTACCACACAAAATTAACAATCCTTAATGTCTTTGTCATATTGTTTCACATCTCTTAAATAAGGGAATTAAAATATGATTGATGAAGCTGAGGCCCTGTTGAACCATCAAGGCTATGCTCCTTCCCATCCCCCCCAGATAAAACAGCTGCTATGAATGTGGGGTGCAGTTTCTACAACGAAACCTTTTAGATACAGCATCTAGATTATGCTAGCCTGATAGATAGGTTTCCCTGTTTCTTTCTTCTCTGAAACAGTTTGTATAAAGTAGATACTACTTTCTTTCTTTTTTTTTTTTTTTTTTTTTTTTTAAGATCTGCAACGACTGGTTCCTAAACTATATGGGCCTGGTGACCTTTTTGGAGAAAGAGAGGAAATTTTTCACTACTGATTTCATGACTTTGCATGGTTCTAGGCCCCACTTAATATGCTTCCTATTTATTCATAAGTCGATTCTGGCAAATTACTATATTACTAGAAAATTGCCCATTTAATGTTTTTGCAATTTTTCCAAGTATCAAATTTTATGTTTACATTTATTTTCCTCTCAGGACTTTGAAGCAATTAACTGCATTGTTTTCTGGTTTCTACTGCTATGATTGAGGGGTCTGCTACTGATCTGCTTGGCCTATCTTTCTTTCTTTCTAGTGATTTCTAATATTTTAACTTTTTTTTTTTTAATGTCCTGCATCCCATTCTTCCATATTTCTCAAATTGTTCTTCACTTTTCACATCTCTCTGTCTTTGTATCCTGGAACATTCCTTTCATTCTATCTTCTAATTAATTATGGCTCCCTTTGGCTCTTGCCAAATTACTATTTAGCCCATCGTTTATATTTTTAAGTTTTGTGACTCTATTTTATTTCCAAGATTTCCCATAGGTTCATTTTCATTTCTGACTCTTCTGTTCTTATAAACTCCTCATCTTGTTTTGTGGATGATAGTTCTGCCTTTGGGGAATTTTTTTTTTTTTTTTTACAGTTTTAAACATTAAGGCCTTTCCAGATTATTCTGTTAGCACTGTTTAGTTATATATGTTTTTTATTTATGGATTTATGACTGTTTCTCAGGACACTGAGGGTCTTCATGTTTGTAGGACAAGGGTGATATTTGACAGCAAAGGAAACAGCCCTTGTCCACAATCTTGAAGAAGAAAACTGCTCTCTATCTTAATCTCCACTGCAGTGTGTTCAGCGCTTGATCTCATGAAGTCAATGAAGTCTTCACCCTGTTTCCAATCCCAGTTTCTGGAGCACCACGAGCCCTCAGGCCCTGCTTAGCTCTGTAGTGTCCCTCTCTGCATTTGTCCATAGCACTTTTTCCATTGTTTTCGAGGGACGCCTGGCTGGCTCAGTCGGTGGAGCTTGCGACTCTTAATCTTGGGGTTGTGAGTTCAAGTCGCAGGTTGGCTGTAGTGATTAATTAAAAATAAAAAATAAATGCAATAGAATAGAGAACCCAGAAATGGACACACAAATGTATGGCCAGCTACTCTTTAACAAAGCAGGAAAGAGTATCCAATGGAAAAAAGACAGCCGTTTTAGCAAACGGTGCTGGTAGAACTAGACAGCAGCATGCAGACAAATGAAACTAGACCACTTTCTTACATCATACACAAAAATTAACTCAAAATGGATGAAAGACCTAAATGTCAAACAGGAAACCATCAAAATCCTGGAGGAGAAAACAAGCAACAACCTCTTTGACCTCAGGCACAGCAACTTCTTACTCAACATGTCTCTGAAGGCAAGGGAAATAAAAGCGAAAATGAACTCTTGGATGGGTGGGGGGTGCCTCACTTGGTGAAACTTTTGACTCTTGGATTCAGCTCAGGTTATTGTCTCACAGTTCGTGAGTAGAAGCCTCACATCAGGCTCCACATTGGCAGTGTGGATCCTGCTTGGGACTCTCTCTCTCCTCTCACTCTGCCCCTTCCCCACTCATGTGCTCTGTCTCTGTCTCTCTCAAAAATAAATAAATAAACTTTAAAAAAATGAACCACTGGGACCTCATCAAGATAAAAAGGTTCTGCACAGAAAAGGAAACAATCAACAAAACTAAAAGGCAACCAACAGAATGAGAGAAGATATTTGCAAATGACATAATGGACAAAGGGTTCGTATCCAAAATCTATAAAGAATTGACCAAACTCAACACCCAAAAAACAAATAATCCAGTGGCGAAATGAGCAGAAGGCAAGAATAGCCACTTTTCCAAAGAAGACATCCAAATGAAAAGATGCTCAACACTGCTCATCATCAGGGAAATACAAATTAAAACCACATTGAGATGCCAGCTCACACCAGTCAGGGTGGCTAAAATCAACAACTCAGGAAATAACAGATGTTGGCGAGGATGCAGAGAAATGGGAAACCTCTTACACAGTTGGTAGGAACACAAAGTTGTGCAGCCCCTCTGGAAGACAGTGTGGAGGTTCCTCACAAAATTATAAATAGAATTACCTTAGGACCCAGCGATAGTGCTACTAGGAATTTACCCAAAGGATAAATTCCAAAGGAGTGCTGAATCATAGGAGCACAAGTACCCCAATGTTTACAGCAGCTCTATCAACAATAGTCAAATTATGGAAAGAGTCCAAATGTCCATCGACTGATGAATGGGTAAAGAAGATGTGGTGTACATATACACAATGGAATACTACTCAGCAATGAAAAAGAATGAAATCTTGCCACTTGCAGCAACATGGATGGAACTGGAGGGTATTATGCTAAGTGAAATAAATCCATCAGAGAAAGACAGATATTATTTGTTTTCACTCATATGTGGAATGTGAGAAACTTAATAGGAGACCATGGGTGAAGGGAAGGGAAAAAACTAGTTATAAACAAAGAGGAAGGCAAACAATAAGACTCTTTTTTTGTTTGTTTTTGTTTTGTTTTATGTGTTTCTCTTTGTAAGAGACTCTTAAATACAGAGAACAAACTGAGGGTTGATAATGACGGGCAGAGGGAGGGGGAAATGGGTGATGGACACTGAGGAGGGCACTTGTTGGGATGAGCACTGGGTGTTGTATGTAAACGATGAATCATGGGAACCTACTCCTAAAGCC